CCTGGCTTAGAAAATAAAATGTTGCCAATTGAATTGTGTTATTTGAAATCAAAAGTTAACCCACAGTGAACCAAAGCTGACACTAAGTGAGTGAGTTTGGTGGCTCCAGCCGCCTCCTCTTCCACTTGGTTGCCCGGCATTCAGTCCCACTTACTAGAAAGCGTGTTTGTGTGTCAGGGACCTGGGGTGCCACCTTCACCAGTTTACTTCTGAATGTGTTCTGTTCTCATTCTGGGCTCGGCATCTGTCACCTTGATCCTCAGTCCGTGACCCACGTGTGTTGCTTTGTGTGTTGACAGCTCGCCCCACCTAATTGCTCGTTTGGCTCAGAGTTTTCCTGACTATTCGAACCTGTTTATTTTTCCATATAAACTTTAGAATCAGCTTGTCTAGTTCCATTAAGAAAAGAAAAGTTGGAATTATAACTGGAACCAAGTTAAGCTTAAATCCCAGGGCTTTTGATGGCAAGTCTAATGGTCTTTTCAAACCTCAGTGCCTCCCAAGTTTGAGGCACTTCTTACTGTTTTAGGGGCATCTGAAAAATGAAGAGATTATGTGAATATTGCTGTCAAATAAAGCTTTTCTGTAATTGGCCATTCCTGGAATTTTATTCCTTATGGGATTTTTGATAGGGTTTTAATACTTATGTGTTCATAGTTCAGGCCATAAGAGGTGCTTTTCAGAGTGAAAGAGAAATGGTTACGTGAAATGCTCTAAAGTGCTTGTGTTTGCTGTTTTGCTTTGTTTTATAACCTTTGGTACAAGAGTTGGCATTTGTAGAAGCTGAAAATGTTGGCTTCTGCTCCACAAGAGATTTCTGGCTTCCATTCTTAATGTGCATGCACCACCCACCACTGTGCACAGCCTGATTATTTCCTACCGTGAGACATTTTCCACGTCCCTTTTTAGAATTTAAATATGTAAGAGAAGGAAAACGGTGAGCTCTACGAATCAGGTGAACCCCCTTCAAGCTGGGCTTTTCTTGTGGCTCAGACTCACCGTCATTGCAAGCATGTTCCTCCTCGTCCCAAATGTCCAGGGAAGCTGTCTCAGCACCCCAGTCATTGATGTATTCTGTGTCTTCTGCCTACTTTTTAATTAAACGTTTTATTTTGAGATAATGTAGATTCACATGTAGCTGTACGAAATAATACAGAGAGAACCCACGTTCATTTTACACAGTGCACTGTCACAACCAGGACGTCAATCTTGATACAGTCAAGATCCAGAACATTCCATCACCCCCAGGATCCCTCCTGTTGTGCTTTTTAGCCACACCCACGCCCTCGCCTGGCAACCACTAATCCGTTCTCCATATCTGCAGTTTTCCCATTGTAAGAATGTTGTGTATAGGTGGACCGTACAGTAAGTAAGCTTTTGGGGTTGGCATTTTTCACTCAGCGCAATTCCCTGGAGATGCATCTAGATTGTTCTGTGTCAATAGCTCGTTCCTTTTTATTGGCACATAGTATTCGGCGGTGTGGATGGACCACAGTTTGTTTAACCACTCACCTGGTCAGGGACATCTGGGTTGTTTCTGGGTTGGGGCTATTATGAAGAAAGTTGCTATAAACATTCCTGTGCCCATTTTTTATGTGAATGTAAGTATTCATTTCTATGGGATAAATACCTATGTTTAGTTTTTAACAAACTAGCAAACCGTTTTCCAGAGTGGCTGCACCATTTTGCATCCCCACCAGCAGCATCTGAGGGATCCAGTTTTTCCGCATCCTCCGAGCGTTTGGGGTGGTCACTATTTTTATTTCAGCTGTTCTCAGAGGTGTGTGGTGGCGTCTCACGTGGTTTTAAGTTGCATTTCCCTAATGGCTCATGATGTTGAGCATCTTTTCATGTGTTTCTTTCCGTCTGTGTGTCCTCTTCAGTGAGCTATCTCTTCATGTCTTCTGCCTATTTACTCATTGGACTGTTTGTTGTTTTACTGTTGAGTTTTGAGCATTCCTTATATATTCTGTTTGTCGGATATGTGATTTTTTAAATATTTTCTCCCGGTCTGTAGCTTATCTTTTCGGCGTCTTTAGCAGAGTGGAAGTTTTTAGTTTTGACTGGGTCCAGTTTATCAGTTTTCCTTTCAGGGGCCGCGCTCATGGTGTCCAGTGTGCGGAACCCTTTGCCCAGCTCTGGGTCCCGAGGGCTCGCTCCTGCGATCTCCCTGAAGTGTTACGGTTTTACGTGTCACTTTTAAGCCCATAGTCCATTTCAAGTGAATCTTTGTGTAGGGCGTGAGGCTTGGCTGTGAAACAGGCCAGCACCGTTTGCTGACAGGTTCCCTCCACCATCGCCTTGCTCCTTGTTGTCCACCAGCTGGGCACGTTTGTGTGGGCCTGTCTCTGGGTTCTCCGTCTGTTCCCTGTGATCTGCCCGTTTACCCCTCGTAATACCATGCTGTCTCGATGGCTAAAGCTATAGAGTGAGCATTGAAATCAGTTAGACTGATTCCTCCTGCTTTCTTCTTCGTTTTCATGGTGGCTGCCTTAATCTTTCTCGGGTGATTCTGACATTTCTGGGTTGGCGTCAGTTGATTTTCTTTTCTCATTTAGTTTGAAGTCTTCCTGGCTCTCAGTGTGATGAGTGATTTTGTTATTGAAACCTGGACGTTTTATGTTACGAGACTCTAAATCTTACTTAACGCTTCTGTTTCACTGACTTTCTCTCCCACCGCTGTTAGGACAAGGAGGAGGCCGCCTCCTTATGGCCAGGCGGGGCTGTGGGTCCAGGTGCCCCACAAGGCCGCTGCTGACAACTCCCAGGGTGCTGCTCCTCCACGGCCTCCACTGACACCGCTGGGTCGGGGAGAAAGTGCTGACTCCGCTGGGCGTCCTCTGATACCCAGCAGGGAGGGGACGGGCACCTCCTTACCTCGTTAGCTCGTCACTGGTGGGGGTGGGAGTCCAGGCTCCCCCGTGTTCTCCCTGACTCTGCATTATGGGGTGGGGGGCACAGGGTCAGTGGAAATGAGAGTCGAGGCTCCCCCCTCATCCTTGCTGGCTGGGAGAGTGGGGTCTGGCTGTTCCTGCCTGTCAGTTCCCTGTCCTGCTGGGCTTTTCCTCTCCTGGTCCTTTGGCCAGAGAGAGCAGCTTTTGTTGGAATTTTCTTTGTCTCTGCCCGTTGGTGTTTCCAGGTTACCAGCTTCTTCAGCTCCACGTCTGGGATAACGATGCAAAAAGAAGGCCAGGGGACTCAGTTCCGTGTGGGTCCTCAGGTCCCTGGCTGGTCTGCCTTCTTGCGACCAGCCTTCAGAGCCTCCTTGGGTTTGCTTCACATGCATGTCCAGGGTTTTCAGGGTACTCAGTGGAGGAAAAGGACGTGCACTCCATCTCCCACCATTCAGGTCCTTCCTGCCTGTTTTAAAGCCAGGTTTCAACTCATAAGAACAGAGTGTTTTGGACGGTTTGTGCGTTGTTTCCAGAATTGATGGTTTGGGTTACTCAGAAGTCCTTGTGATTGCCTTCCTCGTACAACTTCTGTGCTGTCCTACATGCCACCTGTGTCCCGTCTTCATGGTGTGCCCCACCTGACCTCTCCGCCAGGCTCGTTTAACTGTCGCGCCCGTCTTCCCGACCTGAACCTCTAGACCTCAAGGAAACTAGTTTTTATTAAAACTTTCCATAATGGAAATATTAAAACATATTGAGATACAGATTGCATAGTGAACCCCACGTGCCCGTCAGCCAGCATCAGCAATTACCAGCCGTGCACTGTCTGCTTTTCTCCCCACCACGCAGGATTGGTTTGAACTAAGTCCCTGATATTATCATTCCATTTGTAAATACTCAGTCTATGTCACTAAAAGAGAAGTGCTGTTTCCACACCTAAAATGATTAACAATAATTCCTTAATGTAAGCACCTGTCCAGACAATATTTACATTGAAATTTCTCAATTGCAGAGTCTGTCTGATTTATTTTAGGTTTTTGCAGTATCTGGCACTGAGCTGTGCACATAATAGATTTTCAGAAAACATTATCTTGAAGTAATTAGTGAATATAAAATAATCATGCTTTTAAAACTGTCTGGAGCACTTTCTTGAATAAAGGATTCTAAACAGAAACTCATTTAACTTTTAGCAACAAATTTGCCAGATTTTCAGTGAGATTCAAAGTTATTAACAAATGTCGTGAAAACTCTGTATAGTTTAGATATATGGTATGTGAGATATATATATATAAGATATGTGCATTTTTTACCACATTTTAGTCCCCATTTTCCTAAAAGCAATGAATTTGCCTTTTTGTGGTTTATAATATGAATTTTATTTATATACAAAGCAACGTGTGGCTACAAAACTTGCAAATCTTCTTTTTCCTCAATGGCAATTTGGTGGGATTCTTTATTGCAGATTATATATTAGTACAATCTTGCAAAGTATAGCCAAAATATTTAGAAAGAGGAAACTCTTCAATTTGTTGATAATTGAATAATTGGAGTAATTGTTCTTTGAGGATTTCCTGTGGTTTCTCCTGCCAACAAAATAATGTTATACATGGCTAAGAAATTAGATCAGATTTTAACCATTACATGCTTTTTAGTTTCATCTATGTGAGCTGCTATTCAAGATGAAAGAGTGGTGGTGAAGCAAAATACTGTGGGGTGTTTGTTCTTGCATTAAAGCTCTATTTTATAATCCAAACCAAAAGTCCACCCAGAGCAAAGATCAAATGGCAAATGCGTTAGAGTCCTGTCATTGCGTGTCCTAGTGTGGTGTGTCTTCAGTCCGTCCTACAGGAGAGGTCTTTCTAAGACATAAATGTCATCACCTTCTCCCAAATTCAGAGCTCTCCACGGCCTCCCACCCCGGGAATCCTCTGGAGAAGAGGTGGACGCATCAGAATGTTGTTTCCTGCTTGGCAGATCCAACTGTCCTTGTTTTATGACTTTTTTCTTTAGTTTGAAATAATGTTGTAATCATTTCCATAGAGTAGACTTAGCTTCTATTTCTCATACAGTGAACACACTGAATGTTATTTTCTTGCTGTCTTTCAGACAGAAACAGTCTCCGCCAGTCAAGAAACCCTCAAAAGTATTTTGCCATGGATTTAGAAGACGAAGAAAACATGAGTAAGATCTAGGCCTATCGTAGCATGTGGTATCAAGTAGCTAAGTTTTCATTAAAAGTGTTTTTGTAAATTTAGTTAGTGAGACCAATTCGGGGAAAGTGACTTTCCCTGTGATATGGGCTCTTAACAGTGGCGTGTTTCTAACTTTTGATACATTCTCTACAATAGGTATCAGCATTTACCGTGGACATTTTCCTTACAGCTGCATGTCCAGATTCTTCATCCCTCGTTCTTGTCCTGGGCCGTCACGCGTGTATCTACCTGGATATAGGTCTCAGGCCTCTAGATGTGTAGGTCGTAAAGTGCAGGGTTTCATGCTAAGTCACCGTGTGCTCCTCATACTAACGGTCCAGATTTTCATCCGTGCAAATGTAAGACAGCCTCCGAGAAGGATTTAAACACCTGCTCATTGGGAGAACGGTGCATAAGTTTTTCCTTCACATACAGTGTGTTCTCCCTCCATTTTGAGGGAAGGGGGCTCACGTGAGGCTGTTGATCTTAAGTTTCCAAAGACTTGAATGAGCCTTTGGGCTGAGGTGGACTGAAACTCACCCCTGGGTGCTCTCCCGTCCACGCTGTCTCTCTGTGGAGGGACGGAGAGCCCGGGGTAAGCCAGCTCCCCCCTCGCAGCCTTGTTCTCCAGGAAAAGTTCAATGATCATACTTCCCTCTGCTGTTTTATCTTTAATCCCAGAGAGCACTGCATCTGGATAAGGTGCACATGCTCCCACAGAAGTTGGCAGCCTTTAGCAGAGCAATGATAAGAGGGACATCGTTTTTCTGATATATGTATATATGTACCTTCTTACTCGTCCCTGCTCGCTTGTTCCCAAGGAGGAACACAAGGATCTGAATGATGAGTGACGTTTTGTTGAGCGTGGTCATCGATGGCTAGAACACAGTACAGTCCGTTTCCCCGTGACTTCCCCCAGAACCGAGCAGCGAGGCCTTGGAGCCGGCTTGCCTCCACATGTGGCCTGGAAGTCCATCCAGTGCACACTCCTGACCCGCAGGCTGCTCCATGAGTGTTGCTGTGGGGAGCAAGGAGCGGGCTGGTCTTTGTTACGAACCTCCCAGGAAGTGTTCTCTTGCGTCGAAGTCAGTCCCTGAGGGATGCAGGCATAAAGGAATGTGACCAGTTGCCGTTTCAGAACCGTGTGCCCTCCCTCCCACCGGACGAGCACGGCCCTGGCTGCCTGGCGGGAGCTCTCTGCAGGCTGGCGCCCCATCAGAGCCGACTCTGGAGGTCTTTGTAGAACCCAGCCTTATGTTTTCACTGGCCACTTCCAGCTTTGCCCTGCAGTAGTCCACGTGACGAGGGTGCCTGAGGTGTCCCCCACGCCTCCTTTTTGTTGGGGCTGTGGGCTGTCATTCGGGTTGTAGCTTACACGGCTCTACCCAGACTGATCCTGCGGTAACCTCCCAGGACAAAGAGTCCTGCTGGATGACTTCTCGGGGGAGATAAGCCACTGGTGCTAGTGCTGAAACTTTGAAATGCCAGCCCTGTATTTTCTATCATTTCAAACTCAATGAAAAATTTAATCATGATTAATATTCACATTTATGAAATAAAGTAGCACGATGTGTAAAGAGAGCATCTATCTAAGAAGAATTGTGATAGTGGGGGTCTCTCTCTAACTTGAATATTCTATGTTCCTGTCCATAGTAGTGTTTTTAATAAGACAAAATTTGAGAAGTATTTCAGTGCTTCTGAAGGAAGTAAGAACTTAGAATTTATGTGAACTACCCTGTAGAAAGTGTATTTTCCTTATAACCTCAGGATTAGTTGTCAGAGCAATACTGATGATTTTTATTTCTTAAAGGAAAGTATTTAGTTGTTTCAGAGGTTATAGATATTGCATTACATGCATGTCCCAATGTGTTTTAATGATGCGGTTTTCTCTGTTGATAATTCTGTTTAGCAGCAACGTCAGAATGCCAGCTGTCGCCCGGTGCCTGATGCTGTCGCTCACCTGTTAACCTCTGTTCTCTCTTGCTCTGCCCTCTTTAACCGTCTGCTTCCTTTGAGCACCGAAAGGAGTAACCTATCGAGCTTTTGCTGGAGGATGTTATAAATGAAAATTTAGTGTCCATTCCATCGGCTTTGTCAACTGGGCGAAGTGGTGTGTGTGTCAGGAGCACTTGGGAGAGCGGACGTGTGTAGAGGAAGCTTGTCAGCCTCCTAACCTCCCCACAGGCAGAATCAGCTTTCCCACGGGCGGTGCTTAAGCCAGGCTCGCTCTTTATGTCTGGGCCGCGTGACAACCGCCCGGGAGATTCGGGGACTTCAGCTGTGGGGACGGGCAGCCCACGCCCCCGACCTTCTGTCCCATTGAGCCCTCTGTGGGTAGAGCTGATGAACGTTGCCACAGGTTTTTCAGTTTGCTAGCCTTGAGAATCTAGTCTCACATTATGTGCTAGACATAGACCCTGGGGCCACCATGTTGGGGGAACTTTAAAGTGGCTTACATTGCAAAAAATATTTTGATTCCTTAAAAGACTTACTGTGGATTTTCCAGAGCTAGTGGTGGGTCTTTAAATACAGTCGTGCCCACAGCATCGCAGAGCCCCGTGGTGGTTCCTCCTGCCCTTCCTGCAGCAGGTGGCCTGTGAAACTAACCAGGAAAATAGAGAGCTGTTTCTTTTTCTCACTTTTAAAAACCTTGATAAACTTAAAGGGAAGAGTCAAGACTTTCTTATTCTCCTTTTTGAAATTAAAATTGTATTTATTTTGCCATGAACTTTTAGAGTTCTAAAATTATCCTTATTAATTTTACTTATAAACTACCTTTGAAAGGAAGCATAACCAAATTATTCTGTAAACCCGTCAAATATTTGTTTTAAAAAAAAGACAAAATTGCCTGCTTTGGTGAGGAAGTTAGAAGTTGTAACCTGCCTGCAGCTTCGATTTCGTATCGTGTCCTCATATATTTTTTTCTATCATGAAATGTATTAAGAATTCAGAGGTAAATCAATTCCCCATATATAATGAAAAAATTTTAAATGAATGCTAGAAGTGAAGCGTTATCCTTCAAAAATAATTTCTAAAAGGCCAGGATATTTTTCATAATCACATAAGCAGTTTTCTAAGATTGATTTATGAACTAAATCAAATAACTACATACATTGATTGAATATTCTAAACCTGAAAAACTAATGAACTTATGAATGCATGTTTTAAATAATGTCCCCTCTCCTGGGAGAGGCTGCAGTTTCAAGCCCATAGTGAGTATAGCCTGAGAGTCATTGACATCGGAAAGGAGGAAGATGCTAAACTAAGATGTATATTTGTCAGTCCTGATATTAGACTTATTAATGTAAGGTCTTTCTGGATTAATTTATCATCCCACATTTAGTGAGCTTGAATAAAGTATTTCTGAATGCTTCTGAATATTCTTGTGGGAAAAAGTATTTTAAAAATTCACCTTTTAATGCAAAAGCAGCTGGTGATGCCAACTAGAAAGGGGATTGGCCACCATTTAGCAAAACGCCAAATTACTCGTTTCAGTTTAGGCTGACAGCTCTTTGGTTAAATGTGTAGTTCTTCGTGTCTACAGCAAGGAATAAGATATATAAGCACACATCACTTAACCAGTTACAAAGAGAGATAAAGGAATCTATAAATTTTGCATTTACAAGATCCTGCAACGAAGGCGTTGTAAGTTACTCTTTCTGGGCACCGCAGGTTCAGGCAGCACAGATGTTAAGGAAAACTGCAATCTGGACAACGTGCCCCCCAAGGACAGCAGCACACCGGGGCCTGGCGAGGGCGCCCCGCTCTCCAATGGGGGCGGCGGTGCCAGCAGGAAGCGGCCCCTGGAGGAGGGCAGCAACGGCCACGCCAAGTTCCGCCTGAAGAAGAGAAGGAGGACGCCGGGGCCCGCCCTGCCCAAGAACGCGCTGATGCAGCTGAACGAGATCAAGCCTGGCCTGCAGTACATGCTGCTGTCCCAGACGGGGCCCGTGCATGCGCCGCTGTTCGTCATGTCCGTGGAGGTGAATGGGCAGGTGTTCGAGGGCTCGGGCCCCACGAAGAAGAAGGCCAAGCTGCACGCCGCCGAGAAGGCCCTGCGGTCCTTTGTGCAGTTCCCCAACGCCTCCGAGGCCCACCTGGCCATGGGGAGGACCCTGTCCGCCAACACGGACTTCACGTCCGACCAGGCCGACTTCCCCGACACGCTCTTCAACGGCTTCGAGACCCCGGACAGGTCGGACGTGCCCTTCTACCTGGGTTCCAACGGTGATGACTCCTTCAGCTCCAGCGGGGACCTCAGCCTGTCGGCGTCCCCAGTGCCTGCGAGCCTGGTGCAGCCTCCCCTCCCGGTCCCACCACCCTTCCCACCCCCGAGCGGGAAGAACCCCGTGATGATCTTGAATGAGCTGCGCCCAGGACTGAAGTACGACTTCCTCTCAGAGAGCGGGGAGAGCCACGCCAAGAACTTTGTCATGTCCGTGGTCGTGGACGGGCAGTTCTTTGAAGGCTCGGGGAGGAACAAAAAGCTGGCCAAGGCCCGGGCCGCGCAGTCTGCCCTGGCAACCATTTTCAATTTGCACTTGGACCAGACGCCATCTCGCCAGCCCATCCCCAGCGAAGGCCTCCAATTGCACTTACCACAGGTGAGGATGCACACGGCCGCCTTAGGGTGGGGTCACGTCCCCGTGACGCTCTTAGACGGGGCTTGGTTTCCATTGTCACTGCTGACTTCCCATCTTACGTCACTGTTGTCACATGAATAGTTACCCTACCTCTGGCTCCAGGCAGCCTTTCCTGCTTGCGCTGGTCAGGTGGTCACTGGGAAGCCCGTCCATGGCCATCACACGCAGGGTGGGGACACCTGAGGCCCGGGCCCCGGAGCAGTGCTGTCAGTGCTCTCTGTGCTGACCCTCACTCCACACGGCAGTCCACGGTTCCCTTCCCGTGCAGCCCGCCCCTACCATGACAGTGACCCACATCCCACGTCCCAGAGCAGCCTTGGTCAGAGGAGAGGGGAGGGTGGACTGGAGCACTGGGGCCTCACCCCAGCTCAGCGGTGTTTCCCCTCAAAGTCTCGTCTGGGGATCCTGGCACAAGATAAGGGAGGCTGGCTGGTCAGCCGCTGAAACCTGAATCTGGTCAGGGCGTCAGGGCCTCGTGGCTCCAGCAAGACTGGCTGTGGCTGCATTCCTGAGGCTGAGGAGCGTGTCCAAGCAGAGTGGGCACGTGTCAGGGAGGGGAGGGGCATGAGGGGGCCTTCAGCTTGCTCCGGGGTCCACTGTGTACCTGGGAGTCTCTGTACCTGCAGTTTCCCACGTGGGATCCTTGCCTGCTTCCCCCTGCCTGGCCAGAGGCAGGCGGCCACTCTTTAGTGTGACCTTGGACAACTTCCCTCCGTAAAATCAGGGTGGAGAGAGAGGGAATCTCAGGATGGGCTCAGATTGGCTCACGTGGAAGAGGAGTGAAGGAGAGATAGCGTGGCTGTCATCTCCAGATCCTAGAGTTTTGATTGTGTGTTGCTTCTTTTCTTGGAAATCCAAAAACCTTCTAGTCTATTGTAAAAGTTATTCTTTTAGGGAGAAAAATCTGGCCTTCTTCTCAGTTTATTCCTTTTTGTCAAAATATTGTTGAATTTGGAGATAAAACATATCCTGGTTTGATCAGAACACCAGAAGCCTCCAAGTGGTGGGTGGCCACCTGTGTCCTCCCGGAAGGGTCCAGCAGGGCTGCAGCCCCTCTTGTGCTGCTGGGGACAGTGAGAGGAGCCTCTGTGCACTGTCACCTCGCCTGAGATGCCGTGGTTCTCAGTTTTGAAAGAAAGAAATTTATTTTATTTTGCCTAAAGCAACCAAATACAATATCAGTATAAAGTAATACATTCAAAGCATTTTACTGATTTTTTTTTTACTAACCTAATAATTGCTTCCTATAATAACCTCTTGTCGACATTATTCATAAGAACTTTAGTCCATTTATAATTTTACAAACCGGTGGCACTGGTTCCCAAGTGATTTTTTTATTTTCAGTTTTAGCATTTGCTAAAATATTTCGGCCTGAGTTCAAAATAGCATCGGATGTGACCTGTCTTCCCTTAGCGCCAACAGAGTTGTGAGTGAGACGATCGGAATCAGATCGAATGCTGTGAATCCCAGATGCCCGAGTTTCTAGGTGTAGATGGGTAACGCCGGGGAGAGGAGGGAGACGGAGGTCTGTGTGTGCACGTGTACACGTGTGTGCGTGTGTGTGCATGCACGTGTGTGTCAGCACTTGCAACCCACTCCCCAGGCCTGGCCCTGTGACTTCAGTGTGGAGCAGTGACCAGAGCTCCTTGGTTGAGGGGCCGTGTGGAGCCTGGCTGGGAAGGGATGTCTGTTGGAATTCAGCGTAAGGGGAGGGGTGGGTGGGCAGGGGCCGTCTCAGCCCCACCCCATGCCGCTTGCCCTCGTTCTGCAGGTGCCGAGCAGCAGTTTCTGGACCTCTGTGGTCCAGGGCCAGCGAGGCCTGGGAGGGGGAGCTGTGTCTGCCCCACGTCTGCTCACAGTGGCCCCCACCACGGTGTCTCCCGAGCCCCCATTGTAGCTCAGGATGTAACCACGTCTTCCTTGGGGGACCTAGGGGTGGCCTTTGCAGAATCAGTCCCTGCAGCTTTATTTTTGGGCTCCATTGTCTCCCCACTGGGAACTTCCAGATGTACATTTCAGGATGGTGGAAACCCTCACCGTTTTCCTAGAGTAACCCTTACAGGACTTGGTTGCCTTCATGCTGTTCACAGTGACATTTGAGGCTTTAAAACTCAGATGACGCAGCCATATGATGAGCGCAAGCCCTCTGTCAGCAGTGAGTTCTGCCCCTCACCGGGCGTCAGCAGCCCAGAGCCGGCCTCTCAGCTTCTGTGTCCTTCAGGAAGTGGGCAGCCTGGGGCTGGGCGGGGCTTGACTTTTGACAGCATGTTACTGTTGTTGTTATATCTGCCCCTAAAGTTTAGAGGGAGAGTCACCTCATTGCCCACAGGAATGAGATAGTGATCTGTTTAGGGGATGGAAGAGCCATCCAGGGGGCCAGACGCTGCTTCTGGCAGGTAAGTGTCAGCGTGAGTGCCCGACCTCCACCCGGGCGTCTCTGAGCTCCGGGGATAAGCTCATCGGCTTCTCTAGGAAGCTGGAGATGCGCCTGACCTTAGTGAGGCGGGAGCTTCCACTTCCTCTGCTTGTCCTCACCCCCTCCTCTTATTTTCCTTCTGTATCATTGGGACGTGTTTTATCTTTGATGCTCCGGCCGCTGTGCTGGTCCTGCATCCTGTGTTTCTGTCTGCAGCCTCACTCCCTTTCCTGGGCTCGCCCCCGGGGCATCGATGCCTCTGTCAGGGGCGCAGAGTGAGGGCCATGGCCCCCGAGTCTGGATCTTCTGCCCACGTTCCAGGTATCTGGTCCAGAGCACTGTCTTCCAGGGCTCGTTGGTGTTTGCTGGTGCAGTGACAGGAGGAGCACTTCCTGACAACTATGTTTTTCCCCAATAAGTCATCATTTAGGATGAGTGACTTTTCTGTTCATTTTAGGAGTATGTTATTAGGGGCCAACCTGGAGACACTGTATTTGGCTGTTTGTCATGACGAGTGTGAGACTGGTGGGACGTCGGTCTGACATGGCTCCTTGCACACGTCTCCCGTGAGGCATTGTTTCCAGAGCACTGTGGAGTCGTTATATCTGAGGGGAATCATAAGACTGTGTCCAGACTCCAGCGTCTATGTCTGCCCCTGAGAAGCGCCCCCTTCCGTCTAGGTGGCTGTCTGGGCTGGTGACACGCCGATCGAATGTTCCAAACATCACCTTCAATACCTTCGCTTTGAGTGTAGCCTTTAGTACGTTCTGACATCATTTGGTCTCAGTGATGAATGCCCTGTCACGCTCTAATCAGCGCGAGTTTCTGAAAGAGAGGCTGAGCCAGGCTACTCTGTTTTAGATGTTAACACGACTGAGAGACACGTCTGATGGGTGTCTCTGAGAGGGAGGTGCTGTGCAGAGCGCACTGGTTCTCCAGGCTCCCCCTCTCTGTCTGTGATGTTGCGTGTCACACCAAGGGCGTGCTCCCCAGACCTGCCAGCCCCTGAGCTGACCGGGCAGCACCTCCTGGGGTCGGGAAGAGGAGCACCCTCACTTCCTCCAAAAGCCCCGTCACTCGAGGGAGTGTGGCCATGGGCCGCTTGGGAGGGCCCCTGGGAGACACCGAGCAGTGGGAGTGGGAGGCAGGTGACCCTCGGGGGCACTCTCCCGGCTCTACGGAGGGCAGGCTGGTGCTGTCAGGACCGGAGGGATGGCACGGGTGTGCCTCCCGCTGCAGGAGCGCTGGCCCTCGTGGCCGGGCACTGGACTGTCCCTGACCTCGACTCCCAGCCAGAGGATGCCAGCCAGAGCCTCACATGCTCCTTGGGCGGCTGTTTCCGAGGAATATTTTGGAGGAAAAAAATCCACGCATGCGCACATGCACACACACGTGCGCACGCGCACACACACGTACACACACACACACATCTGCCAGATTTACCTGTGTGATTTCCAGAAGAGAAGCCATCTGTCTCGACACTGAGACGGGGAGGAGCACGTGTTGACATTCACGGCAGGTGCGGGCTGCGCCCCTAACCCGCTGCTGTGGTCCTCAGGTGTTAGCGGATGCTGTGGCCCGCCTGGTTCTGGATAAGTTTGGTGACCTGACGGACAACTTCTCCTCCCCTCACGCGCGCAGGAAAGTTCTTGCCGGAGTCGTCATGACAACAGGTAAACGGGTTGACCTGTAAAAATCTCTGTGACGCTAACAGGTCATTTCTTTCCTTCTGCAAAATGTCTACCATATGCAAACTTAGGAACTTCGCTTACAAACAGTTTTTCCCTAAATGTACATCTTTTTAACCTAAGTTATTTTCATTTGGAGAAAGCAAACCATACTGATATTCGATTCCTATAATCTTATGTGAATGGTCTTGATCTACTCTGGAAAACTGTGCTGTTTAATTCTCACTTCATTTGAAAGTAGGACATATCTGATTTATCGATTAATGTTAATGCTGCCAGATAAGTTTCTGTGTGACTTTATAGGGGTGAGGGGAAGCCCTAAGAAGACTAGAAAACCCGTGGGGAAGAGCACACTTTGGGATGGCAGAAGAAACGGTTCGGCAGTGACAGATCCCTAACCAGCACACTGGGGGTGGCTTCCTGCTTCCCTGGGTGTGTGAGGCCGTTTCTCCGGCCTCTTGAGTACTTCGTTATTAATTTCAGGATCAATTACCAGATCCGTTAGTCTACCTTTCCTCCCTGTATCCACTGGGGGACGTTCAAGAAAAGACTATTGCATTCTGGATGGAATAGCTTTCTTAAGTTTAGAATCTTTACGCTAAGTGGTGAGAAGGGTGAATTCCCAGAAATGTCGCAAAGCGAGTCCTCTGTAGCAGGCTATTTGCAGCGCGTCAGCCTGTGCAGGCGGGAATTAGGCGGTGAGGGTGCGTGAAGAGTTGCTGAGCAGTCTACTGGCCCCTCAGAAGTCAAGTCCCTGAGCATGCCTGCAAACCCTGGGAGCACAGTAAGGCGCACGTCGCTGGAAATTACAAGGAGTAATTTCTCTTTTGTTTTTCAGGCACAGATGTTAAAGATGCCAAAGTGATAAGTATTTCAACAGGAACAAAATGTATTAATGGCGAATACATGAGTGATCGTGGCCTTGCATTGAACGACTGCCATGCAGAAATAATAGCTCGAAGATCCTTGCTTAGATTTCTTTATACACAACTTGAGCTGTACTTAAAGTAAGTTTAGAAGTAAATAAGTAAAAGAAGCTTTTTAAAAAAAATATTCCCTTCCTGTCAGAAAATATTGAGAAACCTTTTATTGTTTGGTAATCACTGAAAAACCCTCAAAATAGTAAGTTTATCAGTAACAATGCGGTTGGTTCCCATTTTCCCATGATGCTCAACCAACAAGATAAGAGTTGGCTAAACTATAAGACACACACATACGTGTGTACATATGCATAACATAGTCGTGGATTCAAAGTCTGTGTTCAAGATGGTGTGCTCTTGTCGTATGCCATATAAATATAAATAGAACTGAGCTGCCTGGTAAAAATGGTCCTTTTTATTCTGGTCACTGTGCCTGAGAAGAATATCATGTTTCTAGACCGCTTGTCTTCACAAAGCCATTTCTCACGCACGGTCCTTCTGCTCTAAAGTCATAAATGAAGAGAAGGAAGGGTTACTCGCATCTCCATGACACGGCCGTTATTAAGTGGACGAGAACGATGTTAATTATCCTAATCACGTAGAATAAATGTTCCTGTTCAAGCTTATCTTGACCCTGTTGAAAATACTGGCCTTTGAAAACCCGTGTGGACTATGACCGACTAAATTTTGACAAACGTGTACAGCTTTTACGTTTATTTTTGCAACTTGTTTCCTTTCAGTAACAAAGATGATCAAAAGAGGTCCATCTTTCAGAAATCCGAGCGAGGGGGGTTTAGGCTGAAGGAGAATGTGCAGTTCCATCTCTACATCAGCACGTCTCCCTGTGGAGACGCCAGGATTTTCTCGCCACACGAGCCGATCCTGGAAGGTAGGAGACCGGGTTTCCAACAGGCGACGGTTTCTTGAGAAAATTCCTGAGTGTGCAGTGACAGATGAAACAGTAAACCTACAGGATATCCTTTGTTTCTTTTTCCTTGAATTTCAGCCTCGAATGTGGATCTGATAGAAATATATAAAAGCATGAGATTTTTCTTCTCGATTAATCATTTAATTACAAAATTTTAATGAATGAAAAATGTTGATTCAAATAAACTGAGTAATTAGAATAGAGTGAGGATATTAGATCTGAATTTTTTCCTGGATGTATTTAAATTTGGATGATATTTATCTCTAAATCAGAGAGGTACGTCCTTGTCCGTGTCTCTGATGACCTGTAATATAATAGATGTGTGACTGAAGTATTTGACATCTCAGAAGCGGGAACAGACTGATGACAAGGCAGACCCCTTTGCTGTCACATTTTTCTCCATCCTTCTGTGCATATGGCTTAGTGCTTCTGTTTATAGTAACTTGTACCCACATCCCTTCTCCCAAGCTTGAGCATTATTTATTCCAAATAAAATGTTCGATTAGATTATTTTCCTTGATTTCAAAAGCAACGCATCCCCACTGTGGAAAATTGCTGAATGTTTTTAAAATATCAGAAAGGAAATTTAAATCATCCATATTTTTATAACCCAGAGACAAACTCTGGACATTTGTGCACGCTTCCTATGGATTTCCCTCCATGTCCCTATAGGTTTATTTTTGAAAATCTAAAAATACAAGGAAAAAATATAACAAACACCCAAATATCCATCACCTAGAGTTAGCAAATTAGCATCTTGTTTTGTTTGCTTCAGCTCATTTTTAATGATAGAAATAAACCATTTTGGTTAAAACGGAAGCCCTGTTTCTCCCCGGCCCCTAAGGAGACAGTTTCTCGAATTTGGTTTGTATTAATCCTTCCTGTCCAATGTTACTGCTTGTGTTGTACGTACATCTGATGCGTGTAGAATAAACAGATGCACATGTAAGCACAAACAATGCGTTACATTTATAGGGAGTTGTTAGATGTGCTTCTCAGTGAGTTAAATAGATGGTTTCCTGCCTGAGGGTCCTTCGCCTGTTTTCTCTTGTAGAACCAGCAGACAGACACCCGAACCGTAAAGCCAGAGGGCAGCTGCGGACAAAAATAGAGTCTGGCGAGGGGACGATCCCAGTCCGGTCGAATGCGAGCATCCAGACGTGGGACGGGGTCCTGCAGGGGGAGAGGCTGCTCACCATGTCCTGTAGCGACAAGATGGCGCGGTAAGGCCCGGCCCCTGAACACCGCCTTGCTCACGCGGGCTCCACTCCTGTTCTTCAGAAACCGTTGGGTTTTGTCCCATCTCCTCTCCAGGTGCTCCACAGCGTCTCTGAAGGACTTGGGTTCTAACAAGTGTTGCAGGACCACTTGAGGGGTGAGCTGGGGCCTTGACACGGGAGGCCCCGGGCTTCCTGCACCGCTGTCCTTCAAAACACACCTCAGCTTTCTGTACATTTTTATATATGGGCGTCTAGGGTGAGCTGTTGTATTTCATGTGCTACAGACTGGGGCGTTTGACACGATTTGCTCCAGAGAAAACAAAGAGTTTCCTGCTTTCATGGTCACAGTTCAGTTAACATTTTGGGAAATTGATATTTGCGTTTTAAAACCAATGTGGTCTGTGATCCATTTTGAGTTAATTTTTGTGAAGAGTGTAAGGTCTGTGTCTGGGTTCCTTTTTTCGCATGCGGATGTCCAGTTGTTCCAGCATCATTTATTGAAATGACTGTCTTTGTGCTGTTGTGCTATCTGTGTGCCTTTGTACTATCTGTATATAGTTGACTATATCTGTGCGGGTCTATTTCTAGGCTTTCTGTTCTCTGTTCTCTTCCATTGATCTGTTTGTCTGTTGTTTTGCAAGACCACACTGTCTTGATTACTTTTCGGGTTCTGGACCCAATGCCACCGTGTATGTGACAAGGGGGATTTCCCCACACATCCAACAAGCAAGTCTCAGACACCAGCTGGGTATCCTGCAATTTAACTCAATTCTGACACTGTCTACCCAGAGTTAGCGCCAGATCCTACAGGGTAAAGGCTCAATCCCACAGGAACCCCCCATCCCCACTTCAGATGATAAAAGTCCAGGTTGTCACCTGTGCTTCTGGCCGACCGACTGTAGATCAGAGGTTCCCATGACCCCCTCCTTAGGTTCGATTAATTTGCTAGAGCAGCTCACAGACCCCAGAGAAACACTTTACTTACTAGATCACTGGTTTAGTATAAAAGGACATAACTCAGGAACAGCCAGATAAAAGAGACGCATAGGGCAGGGGATGTGGGAAGGGCACAGAGCTTCCACGCCCTGTCCAGGTGCACCGCTCTCTTTGCCTCTCTACCTGTGTTCTCCAACCCGGAGCCTCTGTGAATCCTTTCCTTCTGGGTTTTTACGGAGGCTTCATTACAAAGGCCTGGTTGATTAAATCATTGACCATCGCTGTTTGAGCTCCATCTCCAGCCCCTCTCCCCTCCCTGGAGGTCAGGGGCCGAGACACTGAAAGTTCCATCCTCCGTCACGTGGTCAGTCACCTGCACTGGCAGCAGCCCCCATCCTGACGTGCTTATGAAAGTCGTCTCATTAACATAACAGAAGGCACCTTTATGGCTCTCATCACTTAGAAATTCCAAGGCTATTAGGAGCTGTGAGCCAGAAACTGGACAATGACCAAATACATATGAGAAATATATGTATTTGATTATCTGAATGACCAAATACACATTTTTTGTAAATCATCATATCACAATTACTGTAGCTTTATAGTAAGCCTTGGTCAGGTGGCATCAGTCCTCCAACTTTGTTCTTCTCCTTCGACACCATGTTGGCTGCTCTTTGTCTTTCGCCTCTCCATGTGAACTTTAGGGTCAGTTTGTCAGTATCCACAACACAACTTGCTGGGGTTTTGAGTGGATTTGCACTGAATCCATGGATCAGCTGGGGAAGAACTGACGTGTCCTGCCAGTGTCGAGTCCTCCCACCCATCAACATGGAATAGCTCTCCACTTATTTAGTTCTTTGATTTCTTTCATCCCTTTTGTAGTTTTCCTCACATAGGTCTTGTTTGTATTTTGTTAGATTTATACCTACGTATTTAATTTTTGGAGGTGTTAATGTAAACAGTATTGTGTTTTTAATTTCAAATTCTGTTTGTTCATTGTCAGTCACAACTGATTTTTGACCAAGGCTCAAAGCCGACTCAGTGAAGGAGATAGTCTCCTTAATAAGTGCTGCTGGGACAATTGGATGTCCCTGTGTGAAAAACAAACAAACGAACTTCATATTTTGCACCACATACAAAAATCAACTCAAAATGGGTCATAGACCTCAATGTGTAAACGTTCTAGAAGAAAACAAAAGAAAATCCTGGCAATTGGGGTAGACAGTTTCTTAGATACAACACCAAAAGCACTCTCCATAAAAGGAGAAATTGATAAATTGGACCTCATCAAATTAAAAATTACTTCCTTGAAAGATACTGTTAAAAGAATGAGAAATAAAGTCACCAACTGGGAGAAAATATTTGCAAATCATATACCTGATAAAGGACCTGTATCCACAGTATATAAAGACTCTCAAAACTCAACAAGAAGGAAAAGCAATTCTTTTAAATGGGCAAAGTATTTGAATGGATCCTTCACCAAAAAAGATGTCAACTATGCACAGAGAAAGATGCTCAACACTACTACTCACTAGGGGGATGCAAATGAGAAGGCTGGGCACAGCCGTCAGGGTGCTAAGGTGGGCAGGGCGGCCATGCAGTGTCGGCAGTGCTGCGGGGGGTGAAGCCGTGCCCTCTGAGGGCGTGCAGGCAGTGCAGTCACTTCTGAGGACAGTTGGGCAGTTTCTGAGCAAGTCAAAGATGTGTCTGCCAGCTGCCCTGGCCATTCTACTCCAGGATGTTTCCCAAGAGAATTGAAAGCATGTGTCCACACAGACACATCCGTGAGAGCTCAGGGAAGCCTTCTTTGTAGTCATCAAAAACCCAAAGCAATCCAAACGGCCATCAGTAGGTACGTGGATAAACAAGGGCGGTACCTCTGTATAGTGGAATACTATTCAGACAGAGAAAAGCAGGGAGGCAGCCCAGTGGCGTAGTAGTTAAGTTCACACGCTCTGCTTCGGCTGTCTCCAGGGTTCACAGGTTTGGATCCCAGGCACGGACCTACACACTGCTCATCAAGCCATGCTGTGGAGGCATCCCACATACAAAATAAAGGAAGGTGGGCACAGATGTTAGCTCAGAGACAATCTTCCTCAAGCAAAAAGGAGGATTGGCAATGGATGTCAGCTCAGGGCCAGTCCTCCTCACAAAAAAAAAAGGAACCGTGATATGCAATACAACATGGATAAATCTCAAAATAAGTGTGCAGAGTAAAAGAAACCTGACAAAAAAGAGTGCTTACCCTGTGACTCCATTTCTACAAATTTCTAGAAAATACAAACCGATCTGCATGACAGGAAGCAGACCAGCGAGCGGTTGCCCAGAGGTGGGGGCCTCAGCAAGAAGGGACACTGGGAACAAGGTGTGAGGAAACCTCTGTGGGGGGCTCATGGGCATGTGCATAGTTCACGACTTACCAAGTTGTGTGCTTTACATCCATGCAGTGTGTCCTGTGTCTTTTGTACCCCAGTGATGCCCAGGAGAAGGGCTCACAGTGGCCACTAGGAAGTGGTCAAAGGTAAACGGCGGGAAGCAACCCAGCTGGTGAGTTAGGATGAGGATGAAGAGAAACCCAGAGAAGTAGCAGAAGGACACAGCATGGAGCAGTCATTATGTTCAAAGGCAGCAGAGACACAGCGAGTAGTGGCAAAACTAGGGTTAGTTCTTTGAAACGGATCGTGAGATTGACGAACGCTGGCGAGTGTGACCAGGAACACAGAGAAGGCACGGCCAAGCCTTATGAGGAGTGGCAAAGAGGATGGTTAAAATGGAGAATTGTAGACAACTTTGCTACCAACATGTTTTAAAACCAGATGAAATTAAGAATTTTCTAGAAAAATGTACATTCCTAAAATTGACTCAAGTATAGGTAGAAACTTTGAATAGAATTATAGTCATTAAAAATATTAAGCCAATCACCCCACTCCCAGGAGAGAAATAATTGGAGGAAATTGAAAGAAAGGAGGTGGCTGTGGAGGAGGAGTCTTTTCCACAGCTCGCTCAGATGGCTTTCATGTGAGTTCTCTGCATCTTTGGGGGCCAGTAACCCGTTTTTATGATCTTTTCTACAGATCAGAAAAGTAGGGAAATTTCCTCTGCTCGTTTTGTGGGATTTCTGCCACCTTTCTCCCCAGACCAGACAAGGACAGTGAAGGAAGGCCAGCGACAAGCCATCCTCAATTATGAAATGACATGCTCACACCAAATCCTGGAGTGTGCTTTTAATGGTTTGATCCAGTCCTTCTAAATCTATAATTTTAATGTAACTTTAACCAAAATCTCATTTTTCACAGCACTTGGAGATCTAATCCAGCACTCAAATGGAAAAGTATCAATAGAAACCTGAGTGGTGATTGGTAGGAGGGTAGCGAAACAGGGTCCCTATCTGGAAAGAGACTGACGACGTATGGTGCCCACTTGAGGTTAGGTGTGCCTGGATCCAAGAGGAAACATGAGCTGGAAGGGAGTTCACGTCTCTCCCAAGGAGGAGTGAGTTCACACGCAGGTCGTCCAGAGCTGCTGGGGCGGGTCCACGGTCACCCAAAACCCAGGCTCCATCTCCCCGCACCCTCCGGGAAGTTTCCTCTGTCCTCCAGCTCTCCACAGCACCTGGAGACGGCCACATCCCAGGTGTCAGGTCTGGATTCGCGGCAGCAGCAGGACCAGGCGGGCGTGCCTCCCAGCCGGCTTCATCACATGGTGTCATCATCAGAGCCTGGCGCAGGGCCGCCTCTTGCCATGAAGGGAGCCGGGCTGGCCGGCCTGCACGTTGCCGTCTGGAGTAGGATGGAGGCTCGGTTGCTCAGAAGAAGGAAAGGAACGTGGGGCTGCAGCCGACAGTTTGCCGTGTGAGACTCCGGGCCAGCGAGCGGCCCTGGAACCGTGGGCTGTCTGTGGGCCCGTCTCCACAGTGTCCAACAGCACCTTCCCGAGCAGGGAGGACGTGAATGTGGCGAGTGGTCCCTGCTGTTTCTGTGGCCTACATTTAAGCAGTTGTCTTAAACTAGGCACAGAAAGCCCAAATTATAAAGGAAAACATGAATAAATTTGACTAAATCGAAATTTTAAAACTTACTTGCCAAAACCCCCATAGATATAGTGGGAAGAAAAGCTGCATACTGGGGAGCGAGATTCTGACTCGTAATCACCAAGAGGTGAGGACCTGGGCTGTAAAGCGAATGCCTGTTTTCGCACGACGCAGAGGCAGGAACCGGCAGGGGCTTTGCCGGGGGCGGTGGGATGGTCTGTGTCTCCTTGAAATGGGGCTTTGCGCACATCAGGACTCACGGCCGCCAGCCCTCTGACTCATGCCTTTCCCTGTGTGCTGGCGTGTTATCTCAAGGAAAAAGCAAAGATGCGCCAGGAGGAAAGGAGCAACGGTCGCTCCTGGAAGGGACGACACTGGGGACAGCCCCCTGGCCCACGCCCACCCTCCACGTTCCCAGCCACACAGCTCTCCAGTTGTCCGCGACCCCAGCCCGTGTCCCACAGTCAAGGCACACAGACCCCGCAGCTGGAAGCTCAGTCCCTCATGACTGCCCCCACTTCAGATGCCAGCTGCCCAGATTGGGTGCCCAGAGTCCCCACGCTTCTCCCTGACGTGGCTACAAGTCAAGGGTTCCCACAACCCCTCCTTGGATTCAGTAATTTACTAGAACAGCTCACAGAACTCGGGAAGAACAGTCTACATACATTTACCAGGTTATTATAAAGGCCACGACCCGGGAACAGCTGGCTGGAACAGGTGCACAGGGAAGGTATGGGGTGTGGAGCTTCGTGCCCTCTCCGGACACGCCGCCCTCCCAGCATCGTGATGTGCTCACCGCCCCAAAGCCCCGGAGCCCTTGGGTCAGGGGTCGTTGCGCAGGTTTCCGTCATGGAGGCATGGTTCAGTCCTTGGTCGTGGTGATTGACTTGTCCCCAGGCCCCCTCCTCCCCGAGTCAGGTGGGACTGAACTCTCCATCCTCTGGTCACAGGGTTGATTCCCCAGCTACCAGCCCCCGTCCTCCAAGAGTCACCTCAGCATAAACCAGGTGTGGTGAAAGGGCTTGTCACCCGGTGTCCCGCCACAGTGGCCATATGGCCAGAAAAGCTGAGCTCTAGGAATAGCATTGGTGGCCAGAGCACTGCCCGCTGGCTGCAGGCCCCTGCCCGCCCGGGCATGAAGAGTCCTGCATGGCCCCCAGAGAAGGCCAGGGGGCAGGTGCCGGGCGAGGCTGGCCTGGGTCCCTCAGAGGGACAGAGCCTCGTCCACAGACTGCCCAGCTGGAGGGGCCCGGGATAGGGGCAGGGGCAGGCTTAGGAGGGAGGGTCATGGTGGACTGGGGGGGCAGGGACCCTCTGCTGCCGGGTCACCAGGTGCTGTCTGTCTGACTGGTGAGCAGTTTGGTGGCAAAGGCAGCTCCAGAAGGCTGCGTGGGGACAGTGATGAGGGCATGGCCGAGTGGGGAGCAGTGAGGGCGCTGGGCCGCGGGCGGAGCAGGGGCCTTAGTTCCAATGACCGCAGCCTCTGTGCTTTCTGCGTGGGGCTGTGGGAGGAAGCAGAGACCACCCCCCACCCCGAGGACAGATGTTTTGTTTATTCAGAGCTGTGTAGTGGGGTCCACCACCTCACTGTGTAGGCAGAGACTCAGACGGCGGGAGGGGGCAGCTCGCAGTGGGAAGGGAGGCTCAGGTGCGCCCCCATGGAGGCTGTGGCCGGTGAGGGACGCTGGATCAGGGGACGTGGTGTGACGCTGCTCTGAACCCTGTGCTCCAAGAAATAACACATGAGGAAGAGGAGAGAGAAAGTGGCCGGGTGCCGAGCACAGCGCATGAGATGAGCCCGCCCGGCTCCTGTGTGGTTCTTTCTGGGGTCTCCAGCCCGCTTTCCCAGGGAGACTGCTGTGGACCCCTGTACCCTCCCCCGGAGCCAGGGCCAGGCAGGGAGACAGGAGTGGACAGTGGCGGCACCTGTGCCGGGTATCCTGTCTCCGCAGAGGTTCACTGGGGGCATTGGCTGCATCAGCACAGCCCCTCACCATCAGCCGTCATTTCCCATCCTGTGAAGTTCGGTCCTCACGCTCCCTGTGAGGCTCGCTGGCTGGAGCCCATCAGCAGAAGTGGCGGCATGCCAGTCCCTTGCCCACCCAGGGCCTCCGCAGAGCAATCGCGGCTGCTGGAATTCTCTTACGAAGCATGTGTTCAGAATTAACGACTCGTCACAAATATGGGTTTCTGCAAGATCACTGTTTTAAAGTTGGCCCCAGGAGGCTGACTGCAGCTGAAAGACAGGCTACACCGCAGACTGGCTTCTGAATTTGCATAAGAAGGGTGCCCTGTGGTTCCGTAGGCCCTGAATCGTTTCAAGCTTTTTTTCCTAAGATAGGAAAACCTATTTTATTCCCTTTTGACGGGGAGGGAAGGGCCTGTTGTAGGAATTGGAGGGTCTGTCGTTCGGCAGGTTTATTGATCTGTGTGTACCCGGTTCGTGGTGTAATTTCTGGGGTGTATCATGAATAAACAGAGTCTCTGCTCGTGGGGGCTGCATGCTGCTGGGGGACAGGTAATGACAAATAGACGCATAAGTTATGTAGGAAGTTAGCACGGGGGACTTGGTGGGGTACCAAGAGGGACATCCACAGAGACAGAGGGCTGGGGGCTGTGGCCAGGGGCCGCCTGGGGACCCTGTTCCAGGCTGCAGGGGCTGAGGGGAGAGGCTGTGGGGGAGCAGCAAGGGGCCCCCATGGCCCGGACGTGGGGGGGTTGCAGGGAGGAGTGACCAGGCCAGACAGGCCAGCCGGCCCTTGGGATGATGTCTCTTTCTCGAGAGAAGATGGGCAGCGTTGGAGGGTGTGCGCAGAGGGAGCTGGCCTGGCCTGTGCTCACAGGTCACTTAGCGGCCATCCAGGGATATGCCGCTGGGAGTGGGGGCCGGGTCTCCTAGCGAGGGGCCATGAAGCGGGTGGGGAGGCACTAGCAAGAAGCAGTTCCTGGATCTGTTCTGAAAGGCAGTCCCACAGGTGTGCTGACCACTGGTCGGCGACAGGGAGCAAGGAAGCAAGCGTGACTCTGCGGGTTTGACCTGAGCAACAGAAGACAGAGCTGGGTGGGTCAGGGGTCTGGGCCGGGTACATGTGGATGCTGTTTGCTCTGCCCTACCCCGTTTACCAGCACTGGCCCCCTGGGCACCACCTTCCACCCCCTTCCACGAGATCCCGAGATACAATTGAGGGCGCCATGGTGGAGCCGGTGGCCAGTGCAGAGAGAGTGGGTACCAGGAGGGGGCTCTGAGGCCGGAACCTGGGCCTCACCCTACCCACCCTACAGTCCTCTCCCAAGTCCTGCCAGCCCCCCAGACCTCAGCCCGGAATGCTACTGAAGTCGGCCTCTCCCCCTGTCCCTGCCGACGTCTGCCCGGGGCTGCTGCTGCGGGGGCTCTCTCGGGCCCTGCCTGTGCTCCCTGCCTCCACACAAGGCTGCACCATCATCGGTTCACTGCCGACAGGGCGGACCTGGTCAGTCCCCCTCCTGAGGACACCTTCATTCACTGAGGCGGGCCACTGCCCTGCCGGACGCCCCCAGCAGCTCCTGCTGCCCCCGAGGACAGCCAGCCCCTGCCTCCTCTGGCTTCGTCCCCCACCTCCCGCTGCACCCCCTCCTGGGTCTGGGCTGGGCCTGCCTCCCTCCGTCTGCCTCACAGCCGCCTTCTGGGGCTCAGCATCAGGGTGACCCCCAAAGAGCCTTCTAGAAGCTGGCACCCCTCGTTGTTTTTCATGGAACCCTGCTTTCCCTCAAATTGGTTTCTCCTCAATTTATAATCCTTGATTCATGTGTTCGCCTTTTTCCTGCACGTCCTGCATCCAGACTGCAGGCTGGCTCCAGGGGTGCGGGGACTGTGTCTTCCCTGCCCCATGGACTTAGCGCCAGCGCTGTGGGCGCTTGGATGCAGACCCCCCAAGCTGTGCAGAGCGTGTCTCCTGCCATTCGTGGGGCTCAGAAAGAGAGCAGTGGCTGTGAGACGGCGTCTGTGTTAGAGTTGAAACGACCCCAGATGGTCAGTGGTGTGAGTGGTTAGTGTAATAAACATGGCTGAGCAGATGCTGTCGCCTCCCACCCCCGCCCAGTGCAGTCAGGGCCGGGTCACCGCTGCCAGCCCCCCAAGGGGCGGGGCGGGGGCACGGCCCTGGCATCCAGGCTGATTCTCACCTCCACGTGGTCCGCTCAGCTGGATGCAGACTTGTCACACAGGAGAGGAAACAGCCAGGTCACTGTTTCAAGGACGCTTTTAGAGCTGCCATTTTTATTAGAAGTCATAAAATATTTGCTGTCCCTTTTGCTTTTTCTCACAAGAAACGTGGCTCATTGATACCTTTTTAGAACTAATCTTCAGTAAATGTGTCATCGTAGGAAACATAATGGTGAAGATTGTCCCACAGCTTAAAATGTTTAAATAGATTTTTCTCTTTAAAATTCTAAACTGCTAAGTCAGATATTTTTGTTTTGTTCTGTTTTGTTTTGTTTTGAGGAGGATTAACTCTGAGCTAACATCCACCACCAATCCTCCTCTTTTTGCTGAGGAAGACTGGCCCTGAGCTAACATCTGTGCCCATCTTCCTCTGTTCTATGTGGGTCGCCTGCCACAGCATGGCTTGATGAGCAGTGCATAGGTCTGTGCCTGGAATCTGAACCGGTAAACCCCCGGCCGCAGAAGTAGAACCTGCGGACTTAACCACTGCACCACCAGGCCGGCCCCCTAAGTCAGTTATTTTTAATCACTCTCTTTTTCAGTTGGTCGACATAAGCAGGCTGTTGGGTGCTGTGCCAGTTGGTGTTAGGCTCAAGATGGGCGCTCCTCCCCCACTGAAGGGGCGTCCCCTCTCCTCCCCCGCTGAAGGGGCATCCCCTCTCCTCCCCCGCTGAAGGGGCGTCCCCTCTCCTCCCCCGCTGAAGGGGGGTCCCCTCTCCTCCCCCACTGAAGGGGCATCCCCTCTCCTCCCCCACTGAAGGGGCGTTCTCTCTCCTCCCTCACTGAAGGGCGTGTCTCCTCTCCTCCAGGTGGAATGTGGTGGGCATCCAGGGATCCCTGCTCAGCATCTTCGTGGAGCCAATTTACTTCTCGAGCATCATCCTGGGCAGCCTCTACCACGGGGACCATCTCTCCAGGGCCATGTACCAGCGCATCTCGAACATCGAGGACCTGCCCCCTCTCTACACCCTCAACAAGCCCCTGCTCAGCGGCAAGTATCTCTGAGTTGCTTGCTCCGTCTCTTGTGGGAACCTTGTCCTGCGACCTCCAGGTTCGCGAGTGAAGTGCGGTGGGGGAGCTGCCCTGAGAAGTCTGGGCCCTTCTCACAGGATGAAAAGCGCAGCCTCGGGGCCTGAGGGCTTTTCAGTGAGTGCCTCGCAGGATGGCTCTCTGACTGGCTGAAAACCTTGCTCTTCACGGAGAAACTACAGCCCAGACTGGGCGCCTCCGTGTTTTATTTCACTCATGCTAACGTGTGCAAGTCCTGCCGCAGCCACAGAGACCGACAGCTAGCAGGCGTGGCCTGGGCTGCCCAGCCTGCTGTCACAGTGCTGGGCAGCCACCACAGAGCCTGCCCGCTGCAGGCACGGGACGCCACACTCCTGGGGGAGCCTAGGATGCTCCTAGGTTGTTGGCAAGGTAACCGAAATGTGCCCGTGACGGTGGGCGACGTTTCAGTGGTATGAGCGTGTGTGCCCGGGACAGGTAGATGACGTTTCAGTGGTTTGAGCATGTGTGCGTGTAACGGGTAGATGACGTTTCAGTGGTGTGAGCTTGTGTGCCCGTCATGGGCGGGCGACGTTTCAGTGGTGTGAGCGTGTGTGCCCATGACGGGCGGGCGACGTTTCAGCGGTGTGAGCGTGTGTGCCCGTGACGGGCCGGCGACGTTTCAGCGGTGTGAGCGTGTGTGCCCGTCACAAGCAGGTGAGCTTCCAGCGGTGTCTTGCACTCGCCCTGTGTTACTGGTTTGTTTGCTGTTTCCTTTTAGAATTTCATGGCCAACAGTAAAGGGAACAAGAGCTTTGAATTCAAAAGTCCCAACTTCTCAGTTCACCCTTATTTAAAAGGACAGAGTTAAGGTATTTTTATCCTTTTGAAAATATCGTTTTACTTCTTTTAAGCTCAGAACTAAAACCATAATCCCACACTAACACGCGTGCCTTGGGTGTGCGTGTGCTCTGCCTTGTCCTGTGGTGCTTGGGTACTCGCACGTCTTAACTGGAGAAAAGCAGTGTGGAATTGTATTTGAAAGCATGTCTCTTAGAGTACATAAATCAAGTAGGAATGGGGAAAAACAGAAGTTGTTTCAGATCAAAATTTACAACTCCCTAACCTTAACGCATTGTTTTTTAAGAAAAAAAACCATAGCCTCTGATAAAACTTGATGGTGGGTAAGTTGCAATTATAGCATCCACGTCTTTTGAACTTCCACTGGAAGATACAAGATAAGCATGAGATTTTTGTTGTGTGTTGGCTTATGAATTTCTCATGACTAGGAAAATAGTTTCCCCTATTTGGTCTCTGTGTTCTACGTTTGAGAGAAGAGTGCTGTGTTTAATTTCAGCTGTCACCTGGCTTTTATAGTTTCAGACACTGAAAACACTGAATGAGAAATACGTGGCACATGGGAGATGCTCCAAAATAGTGCTGATCAGTGCCTTGTTGAATGGTACGGTCTAAGCTGCATTGCACCCATAACTAAAGTCTGAAAAGAGAGGATCATTTTGCTAAAGGAATATTCTAAGATACTGAAAAGAGAGCTCATTTATAGGGCAAACTATTTTTTATTATATCATGTGTATATGAAGTGCATGGATAGCTATAAGAAGATACTGAAAAACAGCATTTGCAAGATAAAAACCTCAAAGTCGTCGATGCCAATATAAGTTTGTTGAAAATGTGAAGTCTATAACAAAATAAAAGGATCTACTCTTCGTTCTCCCTCCCTAATACCGCTCTCATCCCAAAAGCCACAGCACACAACCATGCGGTTTTGGCAGCGTGCCTGCCCCTGGCCATCTGTGCCAACCGGTGGGCAGCCAAGAGCCTGGGTCAGAGCCGGGAGGCCAGGCCGTGCTGTAGCTCCACCTGACTGGCAGCTTCTGTGCCACGGTTTCTTTGTCTGCCTCGTGAGGGGGAGCGGACCCGGTGCCCTGCTTGGTCCTTCTGGACGAGTGTGTTAGAATTCTACGAAATACAGCACAGCACTCGAGTTTCAGGAAGCGGAGTGTTCCTTGCATGCTCAGCCAGTAGACAGCGCCACTCTGCCATCAAAGTCTATTTCCAAACGCAAACTACTTGAAATATCTTACTGTGGATCAATGGTTTGTTTTGGAAACCGTGGGGTTTTGTTGTTGTTTTTCCTGGAAGAGTGTTCACATCGACACAGCCAGTATCTTTGGAGAAGACGTGGGAGGGCGCTCCCACGAGGTCAGCAGGGCACAGCACAGAGGGACGCGGGCGAGCCACGGGGCCGAGTGGAGGGAGGCTGGATGCTCTCCCTCGGTGGACCAGCCCAAAGTCGGGCTGCCCAGAGAGCTGAAGTCTAAGGGAGATACTCTCGAGGATTACCAGAGAAAAGGAATCAATCGGGACAAGTCTGGAGGGGAGAGAGTGATGTCTTAATAGACTTGGGAGCTCACACTCCTTTCGAGTGGGCCCAGGGCACAGCCCTCAAACTTTCTTAAAACAGAGGTCTTCTGTCTAACAAGTGACCCCGACTGTGGAGCAGCCAGGACATTGGGTGTTTCCTTCTGGTCCTCTTGCTGTGCGTGCGTGGCGTGTTTATCACAGTTCAATGCACAATTGTCACAGATCGTTCCCGTGTTAAAGAGAAGGATGTGTGACAGCACCAAGAGAACCATGGTACCCTAAGGGAGGAACAAAAATGGACATGAATGCAGCACAGAGAATGACGGAATTAACTAAAACAAGATTACCCCGAACTGAAGCAACTCGAGACAGACTTTAGTAAAAGACTGAGCAATGTTAACGCTCTCAAAGTTAAGATGAGAACAATCGCATGTTCATTTCAGCGTAAAAAGTGTGTTTTTACTGTAAGGAAGGCTCTTGGTGGCGAGCTGTGAGAGGTTTGAGCCTTGGCCGTGAGCGCCCCCGTGACGCCCTCGCTGGCCCTGGGAGGGGGCCCCTCGAGCTCGGTCCCGTCCTCTTTCCAGCTGAGTTTCAGAGTCGGCACCTGCAGGGTTCAGAACAGTTCCCGCTCTGATTCACGTCCACTGGCCCCGGAGTCTGCGTCTCTCCGTGGCCCAGCTTGCTGTGCAGTCACCCGAGAGAACTCAGGGAGAGAGACGGTGCTCGCCTGTCCCCACACCCTGGCTCTAGGCCCATGTGGCACCGGCTGCCCTGGGGTGAGGCCCCCACTCTGCTGGTTCCACGCCAGCAGGGGAGCAGATCCTGATGGATCCAGGCTGAGGGGGGCTCTCCGGGAAGATGGTACAGGACTCAGAGACGCGCGGTGAGGGGATGCTGCTGGCATGCCAGCACAGGACACCCATACGCCCTGCGCGTGGAGAGCACCTGCCTGTTTGTAATAGTTGGTAAAGAGCTGGCTCTGGTGTCAAGATTGCGAAGCCTTAAATGAGAGGGAGAGAGGACTGTGGATGAGGGTGAGCTGTGTGTTTTCCAGGTCAGACTAGGCATCGGGGACACGGGGAGAGGAGCCAAGGGGTAAAGTCGGTTCTCTCCTGCCCAGGGTCTGAAGAGGGAGTGACCGTGCCACATGTCCTTCTGGAGCAAAACGGCCACCCGAGGGCAAGAGGGCTGGGTTGGAGCCAGTGTACAAAGTCGTCTTCCTTTCGTCTCCTCCACTTTTTGCCCATTACGACTTCTGTTTTTCCTCCGCTTACTCTTGTTGACTAAATTGTCTCTTTCTCTTTTCCTCTCGGGTGGTTTGGGAGTCCTGTGTCTTGCTGCTACTTTACCAGGTAGTTACGCTTAATTTCTGAACAAATATATTTAAACCACTTGAAAAAACATTTCAGCATCAAGAATTAATCGGTATTCATAAAGATCCCCACCCAAGAAAAGCTAAAACCTCAGGCTGGTTTTTCCTCTACTTTCTTTCCACTCTCATCCTTCTAGATTCTGGCGTCATCGTGTTAGAAACTCTTTCAAAAATCCCTTTAATAGCCCCTCAGCCCCAGGATCAGCGGTTGTTCAGACAGACGGAGGGGCCAGCCGTTTCCCTGTCGTCCTCCGTGTCACAGGCACCCCTCTCATTCTGTGTCCGGATTTGTTTTCCATTTTGCTGGAATGCATCCTTAATTTAGGAGGCAGAGTAGAGCTGTCTGTTGGTTGGGTTTTTGTTTGGCTTTTGGGAGAAAGCTCTGTGTCTCGACGCTGCCTCCTCGGGCACCGTGTCTGACGGCCCGCACGCGTCCAGCTCTGTCCCCCTCAGACTCCGGGCACCCTCGTCGCCTTCTGTCGTCAGGGCCGCCTCGATTTTCTCTCCTGTCTAGGGACCCCATTTTTGTTCTCTCTCCGGTAGCATTAAATTTGTCGCTTTCCCTTAAAATTTGGAAATTTCAATGGAGGAAGCCCAAGTGTGTGGCTGGTTTTCCTTTTTTCCTGCTTATTACTGTGAACGCTTTGATGTGGATAACTGAGTCTTCATCAGAGATTTTCCTCAGTTTTAGCCTTTATTGTGCGTTTTCTCCATCGTCTCAGGAAGTTCTGAGCAGAGCCCAGAGGTCTCAGTTGGTGTTTTCAAACCCCGAGTTCTTGTCTAAGGAGGAAGTCTTCGTTGGCTGAGGGTTCTGCGTGCAAGGCCTGGGAACCCTGTCCGGGATGATGAGCAAGCAGGATGGGGCAGGTCTGAGCCTGCGGGAGGCTGTGACCCCTGGGGGTCCCTGCTGCCTCCTCGGTCCTCGCCAATGCCCCTCTCGCTCCACTGGTGCCCTTTATTCTCAGCTCCCTGGTGGCCTCTTTTAACAAAAATCAGAATGACCATCTCAAAGGCTGTCTTCTCTCAGCTTAAATGACAGGTTGTTCACAGCTTTTTGGAGCCTGGGGGGGGCATCCACAGACACGGAGGGGCCCCCGAGGCCTGGGCTGCCCTCACCATCTGGACCAGGCTGCCTCCCACGTCACCTCCTCCTCACATCTTTGTTCACCTGCAGAGGAAGCGCCGGTTGAGTTGAGGTTGTAAACTACACCTTTTCCTGGTCAACTGGCAAATGACTCATAGCTTCT